CGCTTGACTGTGTGGAGTGTGATTTTGTAAAAAAAAAATCCAGAAAATAAAAATTGTACAAAATGTGAATAAATTTTGCTTATGGTGTAGACTGTCGTCTCAAGTACCACTCAGCAATCACATTCAGGTAACTTACAGACTGTAATGCGGTTTAGTTTACATGACCTAGTCTTGTCTGACGTATTGGCAAGTCTTGCTTGGTTAGGTCTGGTTCACAAACCAGTCCTAAACGTCGCTATGTTATGCAATGTTCACAACGTGCGTTCCGGCGCAATCCCAGCATATTCCTACAATATAAGTGTATTCCAGGTATGCTGACGAATAGTCTCATAAGTGTAGCTGTATGTGAGAATACGGAATGCGTTACACTCTACACCTGGTCTGTTGATATCAGGCGAATTATACTGGATGCTTGGGGTCTTAATTTAACCTGCTGAACTCCATTGTCAATTTGTCGATTTGTCAATTTATGTTTCGCTGTCTGTCATCAGCTTGGAGGCATAAGTATCCCGTGAAGTTTTATCTACGTCCATAATCTGAAGTACACAGGTTCGCCGTCCTCACTCTACTCCCGTTCTATTCTTTCGGAACATATCACTCTTGTTGACACTTAACGTATCACTCTAGCTGTCATAACTTTATTCTTCTCCTTCTCAAGAAAAGATGACGACTGATTGAAGGTTCGCTTCTTGTATACACATGGTAGAGAGGGGGCATTTTTTTTTAGGATGAAGGCCTACACCTATCTTGCGTGTATGCATATCTTGAGCCAATACATATGCCAGGGAGTTCATTTCACGTGGGTTTATTCATATCTCGTGGGTCTATATATATCGTGATTAGAAATGTAATAATTTTTTATCAAAGCCAACAATTGTAACTTGAAAACACACAAGTATGCAGGCCTCAAAACCACTTTTTCACTTCCGGGTCATTGTACACAAATGTAGTGCAAGATGAAATTACAGGTCACATAGTAATAATATTTTTTCTAGACTTAACTATAACATATATGTTCATACTTTTCATTCGGAACTGCTGTATCTATTGTAGTGGAGTAATTTCATTTGGGCACCAGTTTCATGTTTGTGGATGTGTCAGGACACATTGCGTGATGAGGCTCAAGTAGTGATACTTTGCAATTTTGCGTATTTCCCTATAATTTGGAGAGATAGTGATATTTGAATGAAACTATCTTTCTTAAATGCAGGTCATGAGGTACTTTTCCAGTTAAGTGTAGGTTTGTCTTAGATAATTCTCCAATATGGTATAAGAACCAGATAATTTGCAAATTTTTTATATTTTGCTTTTTCTTCGTCTTGGTAGAACATAAAGAGAAATTTACTGTGGCCAGAAGCTTTAAAGACGGACTTTTACAACACGGACGTCACAATTGAACCCGATTTGATTAGGTCGAAGTGTTCGCCGAGTGTCCACAATTTTAACAATAGGATGGTGTTGTGATAGCAAACATTAGCAAGACCGTTATATACTGTTTCATATAAGCTGCCCCTTTCTTACCTGAACTTTACCCGAGATCTACCTGTGTTTCTCACAACCTATCTTCATACGATTGAGATAGGAAACTAAGTATAAAAAATTTATTTGATTAAAAATGCTTGATAATTAAGTTTGACTTTATTCAGCACTTAAACATATCTAGATAAATCAAATCTTTATATTGGGTGACTTTATTATAATATGAAGAGAAAAGTACCTTTAATAGAACTAATATTGAGTTCAGTAATATATCCTAGATAATGTACAATATTTTACATCCATACATTAAATAGATCACAATCATTTTAGCGTTATACAGTAACCAAAGCAAAGTAGAGAAATAAAACTAAAATATTTGAAATAAAGAGATTTTTTTTTCAATTATTGTTTAAGAAAATATCACATTTCTGGTATTTCGTATCAAATCTACAAATTGTTTATCAATGAGAAATGATTAATAGTCATTTCAGTTTCATTTAATTTTCTTAACTTTTAACCTTAAGGTCCCATCAATACAACATTTGTACACAAACACAAGGAACATGTATATGTAAACTAAATCAATAATTTAAAATGTGATAAATTAAAAAATTATTATTTGAATATTTTTTTAAGAAATTAAGATTTTCAAACATTTCACAATACATATGAAATTGTTTTATTCATAATAAATAAAGTTGTAGAATAGAACTATTTTAAAATGTGAATATTGTTGAAAATTATCCTTAAATAATTATATGTAAAAAAAGTATCATGAACATAAACTTGACGAAAAATGAATAAAAATGCAATGATGTAAGTTGTTTAGTGCCAACAGGTGAAGTTTTACAGGTACATTTACCTGTTGGAATCGATACTACTTTAAGGGAAAAGACTATAAACACTATCAAAACAAACGGTCTGGTAGGGACTTTAAAATTTCGTCACTTAAGAGTACACTCCGACATACCACGTTCCGGCTCGCTTATTAACCTGTGACACTGTGCTATCGAAGAGAGTAGGTGAGTTGCTGGCGATGCTGAATTTTAGTGATGTTAGTCATTATGTATGATCATGTGAAATGTGACAGGTTTTAAATTGAAAATGAAATGAAAATCCTATCTTAACACCCGAACGGTAAGTAAATGTTAACTTCATGACATTGCGTGCGTTTCACATGAGTGAAAGTATTAATTCAGTTGAACAATGCCGACTCTATCTATCTATGAGTATGAACAAACCAGACCATTGCAGGATTTAATTAAAACCTATAGTTTTTCTGGTTTCACGAACGTTCCGGGACATAATTACCAATGGCAAAGTTATTTATTGATTTATTTAACGGTTTGAACGTCCAGTATTACAGCGGACGCGAAAAGATAGGAAAATGATTAGGAGGGGAAAATAGGAAGCGACGGGAGTGGGTGGGATACAGAGACGAGATAAAGAGGGGCCGCCCATGTTACTTGACCTGTTCTAAAACTATATTTTAGAAGGCGACTCCCTGGGCTAATGGTAGACCTAGCCTAACACTTAGCACGACACAACAAGAGGACAGGTTTCAGAACTGAGAGAAAGAGGAAAGGGTTTTACACTAAGTAAATTCCGTTATGTTGATAGTATTTTGGATGTCCGTCAAAATTACTTAACAAATAATCCCCAATGCTTACCTAACCCTGACCTCTGGGCCGGCGATGTCACTCATGCGAGTTGGACATTCTTACACGGTCTACAGCTTTCAGTCCTATTCGACGGACTGCCCAAAGAAAGGTCACCTAGACACTTGAACCATATCAATAAAGACCGATGTCACACATTCGTTCGACACTTCTCTGGGAAAACTAAACTAGCATTTACAGTCGCCGTCACTATACGGAATCTCTCTAGAGTTGTGCTTTTAAACCTACCAAAAAGTAACCGTATGGTGACGACCATTACAAATATGCTGGAAAATAAAGTGGTAGGGGGAAAATAGATAGAAATACTTGGTTTACAACATTTCATTACATTGACACATATGATATGCAAGTGAGTAGAACAAAGTTTTGTCTTTCCATCAATACATTTATCATGAATATATCGCTGTGTTGTAAGCTATACAAAACATTGCCTGAATGCCGACCCATGAACTGGGCGCTAAAATTTCGTGTTTTTTATATTGTGCGGAATTCTTACAAAACTAAGACACACCAAACTAGATAAACATCCCATAATACTTGCACGAGACACTTTATGCATGGCACGTGAGTATAAACCAAAACCTAATCAATATGCAGTACTTGAAAAGTCCGTGTCAAAAGCAAGCAAACATCTCATATATATATCTAATTTATCGACATTTTTTTAACTTAGAAACCGGAAACACAAATATTTTTTTCTTTCTAAAACATTCTCTGTGCATATAACCAACACCGTCATTAAGCTATTTTTCGCAAAACCGAATTCACTTAAACTAATTCACCGAGGACACTTCTGGTGGTACCATCCGTTTTGACCAAGTAATTTTTTAATTTTGTTGTAGCCGGGGGCGAAGTGTTTCATCAACACATCTTGTTAATCACGATTTTCCATGTTCATCATTATTTTTTTGTGGTGTATCTATTTCAAAAATGTGTTTTGTTTACTACAAAATATAAGAAAACTTTAAGCATGACACACAGTAAAGGTTGATTCCGTTGGTTAATAACAGTCAAAAACAAATTTAAAAACGTCCTCCAGACTCGTTAACATCACATATCAAAATCACAGCATCTTCTCTCATCCAAACTAGCTATGAATTGAAGTTTGCATAGTTTCTATAATTTGATTTTAAGTCAAGATTCGGTTTTATTTCTTTTACCTAAAGATAAACATCAATATGTTTGTTCTTGTCAATATTCATATTCCTTTTGAATTTGCTGTTGTCTTTGCAACAAATCAATATATCGATAAATTATGTTTTGAGGTCATGGAAGGCGGATTAAGAAAGAGGAAACGGTTATTTACTCCGACTTTTAACCAAACCATTCTGTCTGTCATCGCTGCAATTTCCATCACTTTGTAAGTATAGCACAAAATCGACCCCGTACAGAATTCATTGTCAAATATCCTTTGAACAGAAATGCTCCCTGACATTTGCGGTAAGAACATAGAGAAGCTGCTGTCTTGTGCCTTTCCCGATCGAGTTTCCCTCTCCTTCCCCGAGGAGGATGTGGATGTCATCCAGTCGCAGAGTTTTTGTCTGATCACCACCTCCTTCGATAATTTCTACTGATCAATATCACATAAGCCCTCTCTTATAGAAAATATTTATGTAAATTAAAGGTGCACAATGTGTCCTGATTGGGATACCGTGAACAGGGTGTCCAATGTCATGTAAAAAATCACGGATCTGAATGTGTAGAAAAAGACCTGATAGGATTATATACATATTATATATATTTATATAAAACTCACTTATTTAAGAATATATTGCTTTTCTTTTCAGGAACTTAATTCTGTATCATGCCAAAGTAAATATCACACAAGAACCACAAACGACAATGTCACAGAACCACTTATCACAAATTGGAAGAACAATTTCAGAGTCAGAATTAGAATCAAAATATATTTTAAAGAAAGATGCGAATAAGATATTCGAAGAGTTCATTAGGAAAAAAACCAATTATAGAAAACATATGGAAGAGAAGGAAATAGATTTGAATCGAACTAAGCTGAATACTGGTCGCAACGGATATTCGGTCAGCGCCAGATGGTCAGTTATCAAATTAAGTAATCCCACGAAATCATTTAAAGTAGGAGAAAGACTACGACTAACTGTTTATTTGAAAGATAAACTTCGACGGAGAATTAATCGGGGCGGGGATGTTCTGAGAATATGGATGAAAGAGACATCAATAGGCGCAAACGTCAACGGTGCTGTCATTGATAACGGCGATGGTACGTACACCGGCGAGGTGCTCTTACCCTGGGCAGGCAGGCCATCTATCTACGTGGCTCTAAGTCACAACAGAGAGGACATCCAATCTGTAACAAACGCAATCGACAAATATGGCGTCCTCAACAAGATGTATGCCCTGTTTCAGAGTAAGGACAAGACTGTTAAAGAAAGCGTTCCTTGTGGACCGTTGCCTTTGTTTGCGTTGGACGAGGAAAGGATGTGCAATCTTACCCGTTATAACTATGGTTATAAATGGTTTAGTGCAAAACCGTCTTCTGTGAATCTCTTTTGTTCCGACTGGACAGCTATTAGGGGTACAAACAACATCACTGTTCCGGATCACGTGGCAAACAGAATCAGGTAGGGATCATAAAGGTCAGATATATGTACCAGGTATATATCAAAATAATGTTTTTAATCGATATGCATTTTTTTAGTGTACTCTGATTCTGATTGCAATATCTTTTTCAACAAAATGTTGAATTATTTAAATAAATCAAATGTTATATAATTAAGTCTTTTTTTCTTAATATACTAATATGAAAATTACATTCAGCTAAACGTTCATTTCAAACCGCCACACCCATAATCCAAACGGTCGATCTGTTCAGACTATGATCACAAAAATTACCATTAGATTTAGTTGTTAACTGTAAAAAATACATATGACAATGTTTTAAATGCATGTTTCATATGTTAATATTTTTCTTTGATTTTATATCACCTGTGTCAGATATACACAACACCAGCACATTGGTAAAGATATACAGATCACTGTCGATGGAGGTAGGTTTTATATTATCGTTTATTTTTTAGATCACGTAAATCTAATAGCTGTATTATCATACCGATGTCTGGACTTTTAATAGAAATAACAGCTAAAGTTCTAGATTATACTGTAATTACTCTTTAATATATCTTAATATATCTTTAATATATACTTTTCCCTCTCTCTTTTTTTTTACAGAACCAGGCGAAGTGATGAAAACCAAGACAAATCTATGTTCCCGTCGCCCGAGAGAAAACTCCTGGTTGGAACCAACTCCATCCGGATTCCACTACCAAAGCAATTGGACGATTACCTCCTGTCGGAGTAACCTGACGCGAACGGTTAGGAACTACCATAAATGTCTCGCGGGGCGCCATCTACTGCTAATGGGTGATTCTAACACTAGAGGGTTCATACGTTTGCTTGTTCCCATGCTCAAAATGACTTTTCGAACAAGACCTATGCCAGTATCCTCTTGGCACGAATTTACTTACGCTGAAAATCAGTATAATAATTCATTGTCGTGGTATCCTCACGAATCTCCATTCTTCGCAAATTTCTTTGTGCCTAAGTATAAGCTACAACCAGTTTCAAAACATTTGGACGAAATAGGTGCCAAGAATAACAGCGTGATTCTTATACACCTATGGGGACATTTCATGAGAATACCATACGACGTGTTTCGATTACATGTTCGTAAAATCCGAGAATCAGTGGATCAACTGCTTATCAGATCCCCGGATGTAGACATTGTAATTAAGGGTCCACATGCGATGACGTACTTCGACTGGATTGCTCCAGTGGACTCGATATGGCGGAAACACAAACGGATTTGGTTTGAGGAGTTTAAAGGACTTCATGGCAAGGTTTTGTTTCTTAACTTTTGGGATATGACAGTTGGGACAGAGAATGTTGACATCCATCCTTCCGAGCCAGTGATCTGGAGTCAAATACATATGTTTATGCAACTATTGTGTCAAAATACCTATAGGTGATGGGATTTTGGAACATAAGGCAAAGAAAGTGCAGTGCTGTTATAACTGCACCATCGCCAATTTTTTCGTTTACACAATGAAAAAGTTGCTCATTCCACTTTGCTTCACGCTGAGAAAAATAGAAGTAATTTTTTAGCATTACACTGACTCAACTCAAATATCACAAGGATGAGCTTGCGTAAACTTCTTCTAAAGCATTATTAAGCCCAAAGTCCTATCTTTCAGTTGTTGAGGCGTATTAGATCCTTTCAAATCATTTACATTTCAATCGTAGTTTACATATACTTGAAACAATAATTGCAACTTTGTTTTTAAAAAATGGTGCCCGGTGTGACATTCATTACAAGATGAGCTCACAACTTTTTGCATTTATCACCATTTCATACCATAGCGGTGTCAATTTTGCAAATATGCAGCAATTCCAAAAGACGGGTTTTTAAAATGGGGAAATTAAAATGACCTTGTATAAATTTGCCTTTGAACAGGTTTAGAATAAGACTTTGCTTTGTAAGAGAAAAAGTAGGACATTAAAGTGCTGAAATTAATATTGATAAACTGAAATATACAATTTGGTAGCGTGACCCCAATTTGAATCTCTTCAAATAAAACACTTAATCTATGGCTTTAAACAGTTTGTACCTGGAAAGCACACCTTCGCGGTTCCAGTATTGTTTTAGGTAATACAAGACTGAGGTGGTTTCCGCATTTAAGTTCAAATTTAGTAAACGTCAAACGTTTTGTTTCTTCCAACAATAATGAAAACAAGAAAGCACAGCTGTAATTACAGATAAAGTATGTATTAATGTAAACAAAATAAGGATATTGGTCTTAAAATTAAAATTTGTGTTGTTTTGTGATAATTTTTGATACTTTTACCAGAGTGGATTGTTTACTACCAGTTATAATTGTATCTAAAAGGTAACTATTCAGTTATAGAAAAGTGTCAGGTATTTTCCTGTTTCATCCCATTCACCTCTACTTCCGGTTTCGTTACAACAACCTCATTGACTGTTTCTACATGGGAGTCTACTTTATGGTTAGGAGAATGTTGCAGCATGTGTTCTTCATCGTTGATGGTACATTTGATATCTTCGTCCTGGCCATTTTCGTTGCCGTTTAAGGGGACAAGCACTTGTGGGTCATACGTAATCTCCATGCCCTCTTTTTCTGTTTTCAACACGAACTCATCCAGTTTGTCAGCTTCTTGATGAAACTAAAATGAAATTTTGATATCATAATTTCTCGGGTATAGTACTACAATAGTCTGTAACTTATTTCTAAATAATTTTTCACAATGTATAACGTTTTAAACGAAATGTCAGTGGACTTATCAATATATTCATGTACATATTCTATCTGGTGAACTTTACCTTTTCAGCTTGGTCATAGTCGATGCCGTATCTGAGTTTCTTCCTTAGTGACAAAGGGAGATAACACATGACTTTATCCACAAATGATACAAGGTACATCGGGTTAGCATCCTCCGGTTTAATAGGTCCTATAAAATTGATAACGTTCTTTATAGATATTCATCATCCATTTTCACAATTAATTGTCTTAATATTATCTATTTCAAACAAGTTTTTAATGGGATATTTGGTGTAAAAACGGTATTAAACATTCTTCTACCTAATATTGCATACGCTTACGTCGTTGATAAGTTAAGTGTGGTCTAAAATAAAACGTTGATCGGTAATTATATTCATTTTCAGACGTTTTTATCTTTACAAAAATGTTAATTTGTTTATGTGTAATTAGTCATATAACGACGATACAAAGTACATGTTTTTATACGGATTGATGGCGTATTATTACTCAGTGGGGTCACATATGCAATAACGTTGGTGTACAGAGTGATGGTGTATCTGTTCAGAATGAGGATGTGTAGTAAAAAGTGATGACGTATATTAAAGACGTGATGACGGTGTGCACAAAGTAATGAAACATGTATATAAAGGGATAACGTTTGTGTAAAAATTGATGACGAACTTTTACATAATGATGACACATATTGTCAGAGTGCGAGTGCCGAATATAGAGTGACGATGCATCTGTGTAGAGTTTCGACATACAAGTACATGTAGTATCACATTGATAATAGAATTGTACAAAAACGATGACGTATGTAACGATGAGGACACGGAGATGAAGTGTATGATATGAAATTGTACACAATAAGGAAGATACATCTGTACAGAATGATGACATAATTGTTTAAATTGACCACGTGCCTCTTCAGAGGGCTCCGTGTCTCTTACGACTGATTAGTCGAGACTAACGAGATTTCCCTGTACACATTAATGGTATATTTTTTTCTACTGGTGACTTACCTGTCATTAGACTAAAGATAGCTCCAAATAAGATGACAGTCAGGATACCAATAACGCTCAGCCACATGTAGGATATAGTATATAACTTCGCAATTCCTTCTCTGAAATGTATTGTTCAAATTACGACAAAAGTGTCAATCTGCCATTATATTTATGACTTCCACCATTAATATCTGTCTACTATAAAGGTAGTTTCTCAGTGTTGAAGGTCCATCTACTTGATACAAAAGCAGTTAAACTATAGTTATGAAATGATCCATTTAATTAAAAACAGCATTAGAATTCGCTTTTTTCTGCAGACACCATTAAAAGTGAACTGAAAAATCTGCTTCTGCTGCAGGTGACATTTACCACAAGAAATCACCAAGAATACTTATAATGTTACGTAATTCTGGCGTCTAAACTGTTCTTTCTGTACCTTGTCATTATGTAAAGACATCATGCAAATCCGATATTCGGTGTTCCTGGTTTGTTACAGTCATTGATGTAATGTGTATAGCTGTGACTGTTCAGCAATTTGGTATAAACTGATGACAATTAACTGGGAATAACGAGAAGTGATAGAAACATTATATCAAATACATTCTTGTGACTTTACAGATAGGTACATACGCTGGTGGCATTTCGGCCATTACACCGGAAGTAGCTACATCGTAGGACCAGCTGGTGCTGTAATCCGTCCAGTTCAGACTTGTAGATGGCGTAGTGAACATGTTTGTGGTGCCATTCACATTAACGAAGCATTGATCAATAGGGGCTGACGGGAGTTTTACCCACCGCTTCCCAACTTTAGTGATGAACTGGCCGGCTGCTATCCATGCTGTCAGGCCAATCGACAGTATCGTTGACATAATGGCACCCTATTACGTAATAAGAACAAACAAAAGGGAACTACCAGACTCATTGTCAAGTGATCTAATGAAAAAGTAGGTCTCTCATTTCACTTTGTACAACGTATCTCTTTCTATGAGGATTTGATGGAATTTTGTTGGAATCGCTGATCTGATGACCCAGGGCCAACAGAAAATAAAATATATGATGTCGTGTTTCGGACGTTAAGATCAGGACTTTCTTTTGCTAATCTGCCTAAACGTCGGATAAAGGGAAAATTTAATTGGTCAATTATGAATTATAAATAATTTTTCTAACAATAAAAGGACCACGAAATGTCGATTCCGAAAGGACCCCTTTGATCTTCATGCAACGAGGTACGATGTGGAATGAAGATATTTGATTGTCATCACGTTGGCTAATTAAAGAATGCAATCGGATACAAAACAACTTCAAATTGTGAAAATAAATTCCAGTTCAGATGCCATATTACATTATGTCTTAGTCTGGTGACACTGAAAGATCTAACATTTAAGTTTTGGTATTCAGAATCATCACATCAAGAAATGTACTTTGAATTATCGAACCTTTGCATTGGCGAAGGGCACAAAGCAGCCAAGTAAGAAGAGGCCAGACAGAGGACCACCAAAAGCAGCTAAAAGAGTTCCCGCGATCTGAAAAATAAAACACATTATAAACTAAATTAATCAATTAATATAACAGATATATATTTTTATGTATAAATTTTCTTTTTTTATGTCAGCAACTTACAAAAATATATCTAGATCTTTTCTAGCTGTGCGACCAACAGGGGAACGTTACCACTGATTTAAATTGACTTATTCAAGGAAGATGATGTCTCGCCTATCGCGTTTTTTTTTTTTTTTTTTTTTTGCGTTTGATTTTATTCATCACTCTTGTATTTTCAATTTTCCTATATAATATAAAATTTGGACTTAAAGTTTCGCATGGTCAATTTGGAAATAATTTTCGTTGATTGATTTAGATTTACATATATATAGTGGTGCTGTTGATTAAGCAAAATAAGCTTATCCTTCCGGGATATTTTTCACTTGTGACCATGTAAATAATTCTCTTTTCAATATAGTAACGTGTTGTCGAGATTAGCCCATCATAATAAATAATGCAATTATAAAGAGATAAAGAATTTAAATAGGATCTTTAATCCTCATCAAGAATTTTTTTTCGTGAACACATTTACTTTAACCATCATATATTGATTTGAAAAATTGCAGCCGTTAATCTTTTTTTTTTTCATAGATAACACAAATAAAAGCATGGAGTACAACATCAGATTCCGGAGTCTGAGATACAATTGGTGAGCCGGTGTATTTGGCTATCATTTATTTATGAATTGAATCTGATATTGGTTTTGAATTCATTCTTTAGTAATATAAAAACTATCGAAAAGGAAAAGGAAAAATGTACACTTTTAACGCATTTTAATCTACTGTGTATAGATATAGAAACTTACATGATATTTTCATTTCTCACTAGATTTTCTGAAACGAATCTCAAAAGTGGTTAAGGTTTTTTTTTTCGAACCCCGTCGAGCAAATATTTACCATAGTTACGTCCTTATGAGTGACAATTTGGTTTTGTTTGGTGGATTTATTACATTTTTCTTATTTACTTTTTTTCGATAGATGATTCTAAAAAAAAGTGCTTATTTGGTCATTACTGCTGGTTAGACAGGTTGAAACGAAATTCGTACGAACAGGTACTGCCGATCTGGTCAATCAAAAGGACGACCGTAATGGACAGTATTGAGTATGTTTAATTTATCTACTTAATTAAAAGTAGATATGTATTTTCACCTGTACTAAGTTGCCTCCCACATACGATATCATGAAGGCCACACATACTGCTAGGCAGCCGAAGAACACCACTGAGAATAAAAAAAACCCAGTTTTTACTGATATCTTTACAACGCTTCTCAACAAATATTTATATTTTCTTCATAAAGCGTTATATCTAAAGATAACTAAACGTTCTTGTGACGTAGATTACAATATAGTTTTAACAGTATCGTTTAAATAGAAATGTGAGCTTAAACTGACAAAGCTACAGCTCTTACATACGAATATTGTGTTTGTAATGGTACCATGTCTCTTTATGTTAGTTATGATAGTGTTTGTCAAAACGCTATAATCCATTCAATAGCATTTTCATGCTCTTTGTTATATGTATATACTCTGTGACTCTTCACGACATTCACGATTATCTCCTGATTGTCCCATAAGTCAATATTATGTCTAACACGTTTTCATCTGTAATTTGTGATAGGCATTTCAGCTGTAACTTTAATAGGCTTAGAAATATGTTACATATCTTTGAACGTATAGACGTGGCTGTCGAAAGCAACATGTATACTGTACACTGTCATTTACACATAGTGTCAATCCATGCTCAAATTGAAAAGAGGACAAAATATGACGACAGGTAAGAAAAGGTTTAATGAAGTAAAGGAGAATATGGCCAGGTATTTCGGAAGGATACGCGTCTTCAGGTTATCCTATGGTATACCTTGCATTGTTATATCGATATCATTGGACTATATCCTTCCTGACAAACTCAAATACTGCTTATATACATGCTGAACCTAGCTTGTAGTCTGGTTGTGATAATGACCCTGACCCGATGCTAACGCTGAATCTGAAATCACGTTACTGCGAACGACAGCTGTGACGCTCCTTACAATCTAATTATTATCAAAGCATTAATGTTAGGCATTGCATAGACTGATCATGACCTTTAACCTCGATTTGGCTATGACCTTTAACATACCTGCTAATTTGGCAATGATGGTGGCTTTAAGCTGTGACATCGGCTTTGTGTGAGGTTGTATGATGTCTGTATACAGGAGAGCGGACATACTACTCAGGCCTGACGATAGGGTACTGCAATATGCATTCAATATATCTCAACACTAGCATAAGATAAAGTATTTCACATCTGATCCTGATATTTTAACAGTTCTTTTATTATTTGTTAACTTCTACAATGAATATTTTGCATGAAAGTTTAATCTGGAAATGTCAACGGTAGGATCTCAGGTCATGCATAAGAGAAACATTCCATATCACGTGTCACATGTACTCGCACCTAAGAGAAGCGCTGAATAGTGAAGCCATAAAGAGACCAGGCATGCCAGGGATGTTCTCAAAGATGTCCATAACCATGAAAGGAATCAACTGGAACAGCAAATATACACACGATTTTATCATAAGATTTTATTAAAATGATACATGATTGTTGTTTAATTGTTTGTTTGAAAGACACGCACTGAAAGGTTGTTAAGATATCTAATAAATGCCGGACTTAGTAATCGTTATGTTGAAGTTAATGTCAAGACTTTGTGATACGAATTTAAATAAATGAATTGTTTGTATGTCTGCCTCAGTCATCACTTAACATTATAATAATATTGATATTAGGCATGCCCATGGTAATGTATCTCAATGGACTGTGGAGATCGACCAGAATAGTTCATTACCAATCTGGTCCTGATTTGATGATCAGGAATCGCAATAGAGTGAAGAAACACACTAGAACAGTTCGTGACCAGTCTGGTCTTAATCTGATGACCAAATATCTCAATACAATGTAGAGATCCTGTTGAGGTCTGGTCGTAATTTCCTGATCAGGTATCTCGCTAGACCATAGAGACCAACCAGAATAGTTTGTAACCTGATTGGCCGCAGTTTCCTGACCAGGTAAAGCAATATAATCATGACTTCCTCGATCTCGCAAAATGTTTCCTTTTGGAATTAAGCTTTGGGTAAAATCGTCAGAAATTTTAACCATGGGGGAATACTTTGCAGTACTATGTTCAGTATAACCCGGTAAAATTGAATGTATTTAATTGACAAGGTACCAATCTGTTAGATACCGTATGTATTTAGCACTTACCCAGTAAGGCACTGACTTGTTTAGGATATCCTAATTAGGGACTAACCTGGTTAGGGTTGGTGAGCTGTTTTGACCTCAATGGATCGCAGCCTTTGGAATGGTAATATGCATATACCACGATACCCTCTATCGCCGCACAGGTCAGCGTAATTGAGAAGGAAGGCGTGGTAATCAACAACATCCTTTTGGAAACGTAGATAAAGGATTAGCAATATCATAATGGTACTGGACGATTCCTTATATTAGTAAGAAAGTGGCACTTATGTGGAAATGATGAGTCTATCTCCAAAGAATTCGTCTATAAACTAAATATTAATATATTAATTGTATTCAGAATTAAGTTTCATATTTAAACGGGGAAGGGGAATGTTTAAAATCAACATTGAAATGAACGTTAAAACCATCAGGACGGCTAATCTAGTGCTTCATTTTGTATGGTAAGTGATGTACTACTGGTTATAATGGACCAGAAATAAAAGATCAAATAAAGAAATAACATTAAAGGAAAACAAGGTATGAAAAAGTTTTTTTTTATTATTCTTTTTAAGAACTACACAAGAACACGAATACGCTTACACAGTGAAAGGTGACACGAACCTAGCTAAATATTTATGTTGGAGTCGGCGATACAAAACCTTGGATCCAATTAAGTTGGGGATTAATTTAAATGTGAGTGAATCCGTCATGAAAACAACGGCAAACAAAGTTTCACAGAAGCAGCTTTACTATCGAATGTGTTTACTTGATAAGAAAACATACGAGGGTGTCTCCATTGTTGAAATGAAATATGGTCACGATAAGTCAATAATTGGGAATACATTCACAGGGTTTAAAATCTTCTGATGGTGCTTTTTTGGAATCGTATTAAAATCGATGGTAATATTAACAAAGGAAGGAAACAGATTGAAGGGCAAGTACCAAGGGGAGGAGGGAATGAACAGAGAGAATAGGACATTTATCAGAGAGGGAGAGAAAATTATGCGGGAAATGATAAGTGAGATGAATGAAATGCTGAGATGGTAGAAGGGACTGATCTGAGAGAAGAGAAGAGAGATGGAAATTATCAGAGGGGGGAGTAAAATACTTTTGGGAGGGGGAACTGATCTGATAGAAGAGGGCAATTAATAATGATAATAATAATAATTCATAGACAGTAGAGAAGGAAATGACCAGAGAGACGAGGGACTGATCGGGAAGAAGAGGGCAATTTTCAGAGAGGAAAAGGAAATGATCAGAATGAGGAGTAAAATACTGATAGGGGAGGGGGAACTGATCTGAGAGACGAGGGACTGATCTGAGAGAAGAGGATAATTTTCAGAGGGGAAATGGAAATGATCAGAGAGACGAGGGGAATTGTCAGCAAGAAGACAGGAATAATCAGAGAGAGAGAGACAGAGAGAGAGAGAGAGAGAGAGAGAGAGAGAGAGAGAGAGAGAGAGAGAGAGAGAGATGGAAGTATTAGAGAGGAGAGGAAAATATCATAGATTAGGAGGGAAGGGAAAGGAGTGTAAAGAATAGCGATCAGAAATAAATGTACAAGGACTTGAACATTATCAGAAAAAAGAGGATAGTTACGATAATACAGTGGATAGTGACTAAAAAAGAAAAGGTGGAAAAATACTAATCAGATAATTATAACAAGGACAAACAGTGGCTTTAGCTAAATAGACAATAAAGATCAAGAAAATGAAAACAAGGTAAAAAAAGAAGAGGTGTTAGGTAATAAACGTTATGATCATTATCCGAAAGGCGAGAATTATTATCAGAAACCACTGGCCTGTTTTAATTTGCTGTTGTAATTGATTTTACTGAGGTTTGTCGTATTGAAGTTCTTATAAAAGAGTACACATTAGTTGCCTCCTCATTCACAGCTTTTATCCGAATATTTATGAATGGGAATACCTCTCATTCCTCCCGCTTGCATGATTCAACAATAATGAGAAAAAACAAACAAACAAACATTTATCAAATTCTAAACAAAATATGTGAATAATACAACACTGGGGAATCTAGATACATTCAGGTAATTGAAAGGTAATATTTTAGTAATTTCTCTCTCACTTTTTGGCGTCTCTGACCGTTGGCGTGGCACTAACTCGCTGGATAGTCGACTGGTTAAACAATAGGCCGAAGCCACGAATCAGAGATCCAACAAACAAATTCCAAAACGTGTGACGTACCCTCGGATCGGGATCAAAACTGCAACATCAGAAATGGGTACCATTTTATTTAGTTAATATCCATAAGCAGGGGAAATATTTCCGAAGATACCTAATACTGCCTCAGGTATTTGTTTAAGTATTTCTTAATTTTGTTTCGCAATTCGAACTAACATAAAAGACCACGGTATCAACAGATAAAAAGTTGTCGGATAAAAACACTAAATAATACAGAATATTAAGCGTTTTCTTTTTCATCAAACGACATCCATAATGCTACTCCCATCCTTATCATGGTATTTTTTTAATCAATGATTTCATACGCTATCACACAAGGATATGGAATTTCCGGACAAAAAATGTGTTAAATAAATAAGAAAAAAAAACAACAAAAAACAAAACAAAACAAAACAAAGGAATGCTTACTTAAAAAGATTAATTCTCCCATTCTCATTTGCTATCCGCCATGTCTCCTTGATGCCACCTGCATCCATGGTGCCCTGCAGTATAAAAAAGAACATTATTACTGCAGATGCAGAGACCAATTGAACAGACCATTCTTTTGTTCAGTTGCTAAACGACATACATAAAGTGTTGTACTGGGATCATTCAAACTGAATAGATGTCTTTTATATTAAAAAATGTCAAGTTAGTGTACAGACTATCTAATTGCAGAAAGATACAGGGAAGAACAAAAGAATAAGGACATTCTATATTGACAAATTGATTCAAGATGGCACTACATAGTAAACTCATGATATCACACAAGAAAGGTTTTGATGACGGTATTGTCAGGATGATTATATCAGTGACAGCAAACGCAACTGAGAATGGAACATGGAAAAGCATTTCTTATGAGGAATGCAATTTTTGTAAGAAAAGTATAATCTAAAAATCGATTTGATAAGTCCATCATCGGATACACTTGGTCTTACTTACTAATTTCCTTGACCATATAAAATCCTAAATAGCAAACCATCCATTGATGACTTGAGTTCATACAGCCAGGGGAATGAACGACTGGATTACAAATACCAAAATCATTTAAGTAACAAACCAAACAAGGGGAAAAAAATAGAACTGTCGCCAGGTAGGACGACTAATACCCCGCTTCCGAATCAACAATAATATGACCACTATGGCAACGAATTAGATTTTTCTTCGAAAAAAGTATCATTGTGTGTTGTCATCCCCCTAAATCTTATTATGCCGAATTCCAACCTTATCAGATGATATCTTAATTTCGACCAATTAAAAGCCTCCAAAGTGTTTCCATGGTAATAGTTTTTAGAACACCTAATGTGTCAAATTACAGGCTATGATTAGCCGTAGCATTTTTATCGAGTTTAAATCAAAAGGCAGAACCATATATGATGAAGCATGCCAAGAGAAATAATGCTGCAACATTCCATACAGAATATCAACAGGAAGGGACATAACTCTAACATATGTTGTTGAAATTTCATGATAAGTGAAAGGGCACAACTATATAATTAAATGGATGTAGAATGCCAAGTTTGAGAAATATTTCTTCAGCATCTTTTTAGAAAATTTGACACAATATTCCTGACAAATGGACGGTTGGACAGTGAGATAGTCAGACGGACAGAGAGTTAGATATGGTAATTCTAAAATCCCCACCTCCTTACATTGCGGGGGTATAATAAAACTAAATGCAGACGAAAATAAGAGTATACCAACTTGTAAATATAATCATAATAAATATTAAACTAGGGCAAAATACTAAATGCTGAAAAGTACAAGGAGAATACGACCATGTGTTCCAGAAAAAATAAACATCTTTTGCTCCATCGACGATACCCACCATCTAAATGTAAATGATATTGATATTTATAATGTTGCCTTCTCACATGAGAACAAGATATACAAGAACTGAACCAACAGGCAAACAAAGGAGCATCAGACACGTCCTGCTTCATATCGAACAAAGGAACAATATCTATGAGATTATTATGACCATAATAGTGTTCTTGTTATCTTATGAGAAGACGTGATTAATATATTTGTTAGTGAAAATGAAGGGCTTTACGAAGAAGTCCCTGTGTCCTGTTTTATAACCTATTCAGTCGCTTATAAAATATTACACTCAGTTTTCATAGGTATGCCAATAGCCTATTTGGACATCTTGCTTTCAACAAGAGGTTCCATCATTATTGTGTTTTCTTCCTCCTTATATTACCTCTTTTACTTATTTTCTTATTAAATACGCATCATATCCCTATAATTAGATTGTATTTCACCTTTCCTGGAGAGGAAAGCTCTCATAACAAGGGGACGAAGGCGTTCTTTTCGTTTTTCGTTTCAAATGGGACAAAATTGTCCTTACAGGGGAGGAAATGCTTTTAGAACAGTGTGGTGAAGATTGGCCAAAAGCAGCTAAAAATTCTGTAAAATCCACATACACTTCTTGTGTAGACTGTATCACGATAAGACTGTAACCCAGATTGGCTAGTACAAGGAATGGCAGTAAGAAGTTTTTCAACAGCTGGACGAACCAGCAGTTTATATAGAGTCTTGTGAAGTTTAGGAATTCAATACCAGCAGGGAAAGTCCGTACCCATATCACTAGTAGGCAATCTTTGTCTTTGTAATACAGAAGCGTAATCGGAAAGTATGCCTTCTCTGGAAAGAATATATTTTACTGAATAGGATGGCTCCCTTCGTTATCGAGCAAGCCTAGTTCTCTTTTGTATACATGAAATGCAATAATGATCAATAAGGATAGAGGAACAATGACTTGTGGTTTGTTTTATTTTAGATTTCAGGTTGGTATTTGTTATTTGAAGAATGAGAAACCGAATGGATTAAATCAAATCTGAATGTGGTTCCAATACAGCATGTATATTGTTTTCAAAAGGATCCATAAGCATCTTGAAATTCATATTCCAGTTCCGATATAAATTAGTAATAATGATTCATTATTCTATTTAAAGGTATGCCAACCTTCAAAGTAAGAATTCAATACATTTATCGTTTTACCTTGATAAGAATGGCTGCCATGCCCGTGTACATCACAAATGCTTGAAATACATCCGTCCATATCACAGCCTTTAGTCCTCCCTGAAACCATAACAGAGATTTTCAAATTTATTGGAGGGGCAAGTGTTATTAACATTATATTTGACGTTGATGATCTCCAAAACAATATAAATATTAATGAATATAAGCTGGTCAAAGGAATAACTAACATTAAATTGAATTGGTGATGTTATGTCATCGAACTCTGAAAGGCGAATCCCATTGTTTGCAATAAAAGTGTGGATACACCCAGGTGTCCACGTAAGCCATACTTACAATAGAAGTGTACACGACGGATGCAACGGCTACAACTGTTATCGATACCCATTGTGGGAATCCGGTCACTGTATTAAAATATGATATATTGAGATACAGAGAAAACAACATATCTTATTGATTCATTAGTAGATAATCTGTCAAATTATCAATTCAGATTGAAATATTCATTTAACAAATAAGCGATAAAAAGATTAGTTTTGTATCTTATCTTACCAGGCATTGATTAGAAAAATGAACAAAATCAATAACCGGTCGGTAATTGATCGATAAATTAAATAATTGTTACTTAATTGGTTACTTATAGTTATTTGTATTATTTACATCTGTTTTAATCAAGCGTATTAAATTATCATTACCCAAAAGTTTTAAACAAATGCTGGAAGAGTTCCAGATTGCTAGGAAGAGGAACAAGTCCTACACTATATGCTACTCAGTTACCTATATTACATGAAACTTTCATTTCTAATGTTTTCAAACATGAATTGCAGTGGTCTTTTTACGTTTTATATCATTAATTGCTTTTTGGTTTTATATTATATACAGAAACATTTCAGACAAACATAAAGCATTATATATTATATCCACTCTCTCAAGATATCGAAATGTGATGTATTCTCAGTCATATTTAAGCTTGAAGGTCATCTTTACTTAATGGAATAAATTATTCAACTCATTCATATCTACCTGCTCACGAAAGTTCATTTAGCAGTAGACATCGTTGTGTTATTTTTAGCTCATGAACAATACATAAACTTTATGTTAAAGAAAGTATATTCGAGAGAGCAAAAAAAATTCCCTAGTCTACATGCTAGATTATAACATTTCTGGCCCTAGTATCAATAGAACTTGTTTGGCTCTACTTCACCTTACTCTAAATTTGTATTTGAAGAGGCTATTCACTTGAGAGTAGTGTTTTACAATCTACAAGGACAGAGGATTTGTGTGACACAGTTTGATTATATAGATCAGCTATTATTCTATTCTGTATTGGATTGTACTATTTGATTGTGTCACTGTTGTACAATCTTATATATCAATGAATATACTATACATTGGAGATGTATTGCATTGCACAATAAATTCTACTAACTGATGTCACAGCAATCAGTAAGTACATTCATACTATAACAACTTCATTGTTTTTTAAAACCATGAATACGACGTTTATTAAATGTTTTATATATGACATACCTGCCTCCAAGGCTACTCCAGGTCCAAATAGCACGATTCCAATATAACACGTCTGTTAGATAAATTGTTACATATATATATCACAGTCATTCTAGCATTCCATGTATGTCACTCATTTATAGTTTATAAAAATTGATCTGGAATGTTCCTAAGTCGCCTCATTGCCTTCAAAGTTTAGGCACTGAAGCCACCTAGAAGGACGATAAAACTGTATGATACAGGTTACTTCACTATATTGTACAACTGTATCTAACACTAAGTTTGTACTTCAAGGTGCTATTCACCTGTGTGTTTTTTGTACAATCATACAGAAATGATAATGATCGTAGTAATATTAATTTATAAGATTATATTTTCATTTTAACAAATAATTGCGGATTAGTCATCATAAATTATTTGGCTGACATTTGATATTAAAAAAAAAAACAAAAACAAAAACAAAAAAACACGAGTTTCATAAATTTCGTCAGAAATACAAACGAATATAGTTTTCATTAGTAAGATAATATAAATACTTTTGCCAACATTCTTAAATCTTGCATTTTATAAACTTCTTAATGTATAGCATTCACTTCACGTTCCCAATTTTTGTGACGCAATGAAACTATGACGTCACAATAAATACAATGCAAATATTATATATAGATAACTTTACAAAACAAGCGGTTGCTGGTTGTTGTATTCCTGACACCTTTGAAAAATAATTAACGATTGCAGAAAGAAATGCCATATACAAAATACCACACTAAAAAGCTACTCCGACAATGATTTTATCTGTCCTGTACCCACTTGTGTTTTGTTTACTCAATCAATTAGGGCATTATGATATGGCCAATAGTGAAATGCCGCTGACTAAAATGTAAAGCTGACAATTACAAAACTATGCAAAATTGTTATAACCCATTACAAATAATAAGTAATTAACGAGTATATCATCTCCAAAGCAATGGATTCATAGGGGAATCAGTATGAAAAACAAGCTGTTACAAAACTAATTGTTCACTACTGGTTTCGCGTTTTTTATTTCTGCGATTACGTGAAGCGCACATCCGTTCAATGTGAATCGTGTTAGCCAGCCAATCGAAAAAAAAAAAAAAAAAAACACACACATACAAAGAACACCTATTTTGGTAAAAAAAAACCATAAACAGTTCTGGTGTTTAAGTAGAAATGAAATAATGTCACATTTTGAAGGTTGATAATAGTCGATGTTACTTACATATGACAATATCCCAAGTATTGTTCCTGTTAGACGAACTGCTCGAGACTTAAAACGCAATTCAAGGTACTGAAAAAGACGGGCAACATTAAGAAAATATTTAAATTGCATACTTTGATTCCTTCCATACCATGATGACAAATCTCTAAGAAATGATTAATATTTGTAATAGTATATTTTACAGCGTGAATATGTCTGAAATGATATTTATAAATAATCGAAATTACCTCTAGCAATCTATAACACAATTACATTATTTTTCAATAGATTTTCTCTGAATATTTGCTATCATGCAAATGATTTCGGTACAGGTACCTTTTTTAACAAAATGCAAATATTAAAACAACAGATCTCATTTACACCCATTTAATAATTCTTCTTCTAATATGTGAGTTTCTATTTACTTTCATGATACTTACTACATCATATATATATATAACATTTCTGGACCAAATCAAAGAACCATTCCCTCCATCAACATAATTTCATCATAGGAGTGTGTGGCGCCCTCATTTTTGTTTACCTATCGTGACAAGAGTGTGTGACGTCATCTTGTTTGTTTACTAACCACTTCTGTATGTTTTTCGGTAATGGATTCTATGTTTAAAATCATGGATCAAGTGGTTAAAGTGAAAAGGGATAAGGACAGCATGTTTTGAGTGCTTGAAGTGAAGTAGATAAGAACGAAAATTTGAGATTACGAAAGACGGGAACCTGAATTTCAGTGTATATTTAAAAAAAAAAAAAAAAAAAAACCGAAAATATTGCCATCTTTTTTGTTTGTTTCTTTGTTTTATTTTTTATCTAGTTATTCCTCTTTACCTTGTTGCCACATCAGATATTAAGTTATACACTGTTTGTTTAAAAAATTAACGAAAGCGTCGTGAAAGGGGGTTATCCAAACGGATCGTAATACTCTCCACTTGTTTCTTCGTATATGCATACGGCAATCCAATGTTGATTTTGTTTCGTATCCGGATCGGTATTACAGACTAACGAACATGGCGACGTTAATGCACGAGGCAATCTGGTCCGGATGAATTTTTTAATATGATTTCTATCTCCAAAGAATTTGTTTTCTAGGCATTGAAAATCATATTAGAGCTGTCGATCCCGGACTATTTCTATAATATTGTCGAATTTTGAAAGCACGATGACGTTGATGGTTTGGGTCAAGGCTTCAACGAAGGGAATTTCCAGAGACAAATTTCCTCTCTTTATAAGGTAAAATGTGCCCAATTCCGAACGATCTGGCTTCAGGTCGAATCAAAACAAAGTATCGCCATGTTCCATATTCTTCTCTCGAGATGTTATTACCCTCGTAGTGGAAAAAGTTGCAGGTACTACTCAATAAACCCATGTAGCTCATCATGAAATGTTTCGAAGTAAAATTAGGATGTAAAGGCTTTGCGGAACCTTTAGCCTTCCACGTTAAAGACGACGTAATTGATTATGTAATGTTTGAAATTTATTGGCATGTTGTCAGTAGATTGTCTTTTACGAAGTCAATATTTCCCCTCGGAACGGAATGAACTTTCATATCGATTCTGCTTATGGGGTATTTGACGAGCGTCAATTCTACCGCTTTCGTATGTGCCAGTCAAACCGATCCTATGAGGATGAATTGTAGTGTAGTTTTCACTATCTTCACGTTCAAGTAAATGTCTTGTATGACCACTTTCAACCCGTCGTCTTCCCGCATCAGACAAAACGAATCTTTACTTCTGGTTAACGTTATCCTCGCGACTACGTTGTTCATAACGTATCTCTCTTAGACAAAAAAATCCAAATTCTTATTCATGTCTTGATACCACTTACTTGCCGTCAACTGATATTATTTGACCGCCAAACCGAAGCTCAAGGAAGTTTGTATGTAAGCTCTATAAGCATACAGGTTATTGGGGAAGCGAGTGTTTGGTTCTGACTCATCTTTTCTCCAAATCTAAGTTAAGATACGCAAGCCAGCCGATATCGTTGACGTAATTCTACTGTCGTCATCGTCAACATTAATTCTGAAAATGTCACCATGAGATACCATTCCTTTAGCTCCCCATATATATTTAAATAGGCTTTTCACTGTCGGATAACAACCTGCTTTCACGTGCTGTTTCGCCGATGCTCCAGGATCGAACTGCACGGAAGCGAGGTTTTCACCATCGCCTACGATCATTTCTAACCGCAATTTGCCATCGTTCACGTTAGACAAGGAATGACGATTTCGGTTAAACCAATTTCCTAAGATGTTTTGAGCTCTATATGTTGCTATAATCGGAAAGTGTAAGATGTCAAAGTATTATCGGGGAAATATTCCACTGAACAAATGCTAGGTAGGGTTATATAAAACATCGTGTTTCTTTGTGGTGGAAGTACTAGGTAAAAATAATGCTGCTCAACAAAGCAATCCACAAAGACCACTGTTGATCGCCAACACTTAAATCATAGATATTACAAATAATTACAGGATTTGACAAAAGAAAACAATTTCCTTGCGCGGTAATTTCTGACCAAATAATAATGAGTTTGTCTCTATACTAGATGTATTATCTGTAGACTATCACATCTTTCTGTGTCGTGTTTTTAGTTTTGCTCTGTTTTCCAATATATTGACGATTTTGATCGTTTTGACAAATGTTAATCTGGAGGGTTATAGCTTGCCCAGTTTTTCTTTGATATTGGTCTACGGGAAGTTGATATTTCGAATGAAATAGTAGTAAAGGAACACCTCTTTCGTCGAAATAATCATCATCATCATCATCATCATCATCATCATCATCATCATCATCATCATCATCATCATCCACTTTCACTTCAAGCAGATCCATGCTGCAATACATAGAATCCGTTGCCAAAATAGATACAGAAGTGGTAAGTACACAAAAATGATGACGTCACACACTCTGTGACGAAAGTAAACAAACATGGTGGCGTCAGACACTCCTTTGATGACATAATGTGGATTGGAGGGCCTTTAATTTGGCGGAACTTTCTTTAGCAACCCTCAACCCCTCCCCCATAGACACATCCACACATACCCACACCCATCCACATATTATCAGTACTTGTGAACTTGTCCACCAATTTCACGTACCTCGTATGCGCTGGTGATTTTAAGCGGATGAAGAAGTGGAACTAAGATGTTGATTGCTAGTATACTGGCCAGGAGGAAACCCATTAACTGCAGCACATATTGTAAGCCGTATTCGTAAACTTCTGCCGGAACGCCAAGCATCATGATCGAAGACTCGAAAGAAACCATTAACGAAATCGCTACAGGAATAACTTTCATTCTACGGTTTCCAACAAGAAATTCCGAGGTTGTTTTTTGCCGACCTCCGGCAAAGGCATAGTACAGACCAATACCAATGGAGATGACGATTGTCACAGCAAAGATAACATAATCCCAAATTACGAAAGAATGTTTGGGCTCCATGGTATCTACAAAGTCATCAAAATATCGCGCATTAATACACTAATTAGTTAATTAGTTCACCTCTGAGGTTTTAAATCTGCGATAATTATGTTTCATTGACTTAGAAATCTTAATAATAATAACAACAATTTTTTGGAATTATTTTATGTAGATTTTACTGTACCAGTGTGACAGACATCCCGGTTTGGATCTAATACTAAATTTCATGAATTTGTTATCCTATAACGATTTGTCTGAAACCTTCTGAAGACATCGCAATAAGAACAAATGAAAATGATACACTACATATGATATTTTTGAGTCATCAGTGACATCATTGATAAGGTAGTCTAATAAGTTTGACGACGTCAGATATATATATAATCATATTATCAAAATTTCATTTAACTGTCTAACAAGGATTTGTAAAGATTTGATTAGATGCAATTTCAGTGAAGTGAAAAGTTATAACCATAATAACATCAAATTATTCAACAAATTGATGTAGATGAATACAATATTAACATCATCATTGTTGAATTATCATTTATTACAAAACTACAGGGAAACGTTTGGATTCAATTAGTTTATAAACTCGATATTATTCTAAAGAAAGAAGGCACAGATCATAAAACGAAAGGAAGCAAATCCACTTACCAGACTGAAAGATTCGTCTACGTCAGGAAAACTACCTGGCGACCGATTTCCACTGACAGAAATGACGATCACCCTCTGAACACCAGATCGAGACTCATTTCACTAATTTATTCAAAGACTGTTGTGGTATATCTATATTGATGTTGGTGTTGAACTATTTACGATACACTAGTCTCACAGTTCTAAGATAAAATTTTCCCTGATTCGATAAGCATGCTTGATGCCCTATTTTTTGTGCTAATTGTGATGCAACACATGCTTTCCTGAATATTTCATATGTGTTTTTGTTTTCATACGAGGCCGAATTTGTTGAAGTTCTTATCAAAACATGTCACACAAAAACTTGCAAAGTCGCTTAAATTCATTCTCAGATATATTGATGATGTCTTGTCTTCATATAATAAGACATTTATTGACCACCTGCATTAGATATATCCACCAGATTTGGAAATCAAAGATACAACAGACCCTTCTACACCAGCTTCTTATCTTGATATTTTTCTGAAACGAAACCAACATGGACAACTTTCCATCAAGCTGTATGATAAACATGATGAATTCAATTTCTCTACTGTGAAGTTTCCATTTCTGAATAGCAGTATCCCTGCATATCAAACCTATGGTATTTACATGTCACAGTTGATTCGATATTTAAGAGCCTGTTCCCATTATCGTGCAAGAAGTCATCACCTGACCGACAAAACTCGTAACACAAGGGTTCAAAAGATTCAGGTTGAGAAAACTTATTGGGAAGTTTTATGGTCGCCATAAGGGTCTGCTTGAGAGATATTCTTTGTCTTTGTGCGTTATAAAGCTGGATGCTCGTTAGTTTGCCTATTGGCTCGGTTGTTGTATATCTTGCTCTCATATGATGACGTAACATTACTTACTTTGGTTGACCAATGTTTATATGGCGGGAGTCGTCGATGATGAAGACGGTTACTCTTCAGGAACACATGGTCTTATTCTATTAGTACGTTTTAGGAGTCTCCGTGTAAATCTTTTTTTCGCGTATATTTTGCTCTAGTTTTATTGAATTTTATTTTGAATTATGATTATGTTGACATGTTGATGTTCCTTTTTGTTAAGTAACTGCTGACCTTTGTTTCAGAAATACCTCATTCACACCAACAATTAAATACTCTATCAAGCGATGATGCTGACCTGATTTTAGAATATACCGCCACCGATTACTGAGCATACATTTGTGTATTAATTTTGATATTCTACCAGCAGTGATATGCTAATTCTTGTTGTCTCCATCCGCACAATCATGTCACAGAATTATTAATTATTTACAATTAATGCAAAGTCTCACTTCCCGTAGCAAGTTCGTTTATGTCTTATGTGACTATATGTTGACCTTCCTTGATAAACCGTGTCCACAAATACCTACTGGATAAAAACAAATAGGTGTATATGTTGTATATAAGATTGTATTAAAGGAAATTTACATATACCTGATCAAGATTCCATTAGTTGACGAATTTACATTTATCTTAACTAGATTATATTATTTCACAATTTTCAGAAAATGCACAAAATGTAACAAGATGGTATGAAAAGAGTGCGGATATGTGAATCACATACATGTATGTACAAGATAAACAGTTGTGAGATCGCATAACGTTACACGATATGCGAACGATATGCATACGCCGCGATTTTCTGTGCATGATGTTAATCTAATATGTGTTGTTCCAACAGTCTGTTTTAATCTGTTGGTTTATATAGATATATTTAATATAACCTCGAGATATTGGTGATCAAGTCAGTACTTGCTTTCGGCTAACAACGCAGATTTCTGAAACTGTGGAATAACGTCAGGATAGATCCAGTTTCGAGAGAAAGAGAGAGAGAGAGAGTTTAGTTTAAGCATACTTATTGCCAAAAATAGACAAAGGATTAGGCACAAGTTATCAAAACTTATCAACGCCTTCTCCCAATATATATTTTAAATGACATTACAATCATGACAATACAAATATACAATTATTTATATATCGAAAGCTCGCCAAGTCTTGGACCAGGATTGGACTCGACATCCATATGATTAACATTAACAAAATCACTGGAAATTCAAAATTTCAGAAACAATAAAAAAAAAACCATATTCAACTGATAAATTAACGAAAATAGAGAGCTATGCAATCGATAAAGCAATTTTAAAAAAGAGTTTACACCAAAACAAAAAGTGACAAATGACGTCATCAAACATCTTCCGTAGACCTCAGAATGTAAGGTACCGATCGCTATTCTATGACACAAAAAAGAATTCCCATTTTCAAATGTGAAACCTAAGCATGAAGTAGAATAGAGGATCGGTATCTTGAATTTCATGAATAAATTATATCGTTCAAATCAGCATTTGAAACTGACAAGACTTACAGAAACACATTTAAAGGAAAAATACAGGACATGTCATGTTAACAAAAAACACTGAATTGGCAAAACAGAGCAAAGTCACCTCTCTCTCTACACACACACACACACACACACACACGGTTTGGATCGCGTGGTGACACACACACACATAAAATATGACACACACACACACACACGTTAACACACACACACACACACATCATTTACACACACACACACACACACACACACACACACACACACACACACACACACACACACACACACACACACACACACACACACACACACACACACACACACACACACACACACACACATACTGGTTTTTCATACAACATGAGGTATGAGCACAGAACATGCATAACGAGGTCCGTGCTAAGTAATATAATTAGAGTAATGGTATATCGATATAAAGCTCAATGTTTTGACCACTATTAACAATACGATATTCAAATGAAGGAAACTGTAATTGGAAGAGATAAACGTTTCACATCCAAAACGAGGTCGGTCCAAATATGGTATTACATACAGAGGTATCTTCCCTTATAAGGTAATACAAATCGAGGTATGACACACATAATTGTTTTGGTTTTACTCGATAAATTTTGTTCGCATACTTTATGATATTTAGTTTTAACATATTTTATCGCAAAAAGCAAAGGGATTTGACACGAGTTATTTCAACTTATACAATGAATAACAATGATCCGCTAATAGCAGTAGATATATTTTAGTAGATAAGATTTAGCAATTAGCATGAAAGGAAAGCACGATGTAAGGAAATGGTATGAAAAAGCAGTAAAATCCTTCATTTATCGAAATGTACATGTAATCAAACCTTCGTGTTGTTTTAATATAGTGCATTTCAATTCTAAACACCGAGATATTGTCGTCTACGGACAGGTGTTCGCTACCACAGAATAGCAATTCTTTATTTATGTTAACATTACACATACTTAGTTTTGCAATGAATTCCCTTCTCTGTACATCAAAGTTTGAACATTCCAGTAAATAATACTTGCTATGGTATCACGCTATATTCCTTAAAATTGCTAATATACCACTACTGGACAACAACCAATTCTCGCCAGGTACCTGTTCTCGCCACCGTCCATTTTTAGAGCAAATATGTGAATGATGCATGATGAAACTTGACAGGATTCAAGAACAGACATTCTTTTGATCATAACTCAAAATAATGCCTCTAAAACTTAACAGATTTTAGAGAGGCGGTGGCGAGAATAGGTACTGGCGAGTATTGGTCGCCAGCCACTATACCAAGAAGATATTTCGTGACTACTAGTACTTATAATCATTTAGATCTAAGCAACCTTATGGGCAATCCATCGTCACACTTTATCAATAAGAACTGTATTCATACCAAACTGCAAAACCATCTCGGTACAATATTTATTAAGTAGAGGGTTATTAAGACACTGAACACGGACATGACCTTATCGCCAACATTTCATAGCATTGGCATCTTTCCTATGTCAAGGGTCGTCACACTACAAGTACCAACCCATGACAAATACAGGTCGTTATTTGTGGGCTGATAGTTGCAACACCTTGAAATTACAGATATGCACGTAATTTGGATTACAAAACCGGTCGGGCCGGTGTACACTGGCGAGTTCCGTTTGAATGAGCCCCAAGAGGGAGTAACGTCATTCTGATCACACAAAACAGCAGTACTTGTAAACTGCTTTCCTTATACTGTACTCCCTATTTTCCGCATGTCAACAATTATGTGTGCCCTTGTATTCCAACTATCAGGATAAATGAGTTACACACACTGATCGCAGTTATTGCATACTAAGGTACATACTCCATGTACACTACAGATATGACATACTGTGGCACACACTATTCACAGACATGATAAACCGAGGTACACACATTAGACACACACATGGCATACCCAGGTACACACATTAGACACACACATGGCATACCGAGGTACACACCGTACACAG